ATGCCTCCTGTCCCTCCAGATCTTCCCAAAGACTTCAAGGCTTCACCTGCACTGAAGGTCCAAAGCTGACCTTCCAGCTGCACCCATTCACTGGATGAGGAGATGTTCCTCCTTGTCTTGGATCTTTCAGATACCTGCTAAGTGCCCAGAGAGAGGCAGAGAGGGATTAGATAGCCCATAGCCTTTCTGGGATCTCTGTGTTCATCCCAGGCACAGTGAAGCCCTGGCTGTGCACCTGCACTTTCCTGGTTCTCATCACTGAGCTGCACAGCTCCTCTCACACCGTGCAGCTGATGGCGTTTTGATCAAGAGGTGGCTTCTACTCTGTCTCTGGAAGATTTAAAGGTAGTTTTCAGCTATCACAGAGGAAACAGATTTTCCCTGTCGCTGAAGTAGAATGAATATTGGACACTGCACTGACCCCTGAAATATTTTAATGCTTTGAAGTTCAAGATCATTAATGTTCTCAGCAACAATTATATAATTTAAAAAGGAGACCCTGTTCAAACCTTTGGACCTTTATAGTGCCTGCTCCTGTAAAGCTATCAGAGGTGATCTCTTTGATATATATGGGACTGAGATCATTACCTGCTGACTCTTCTGTCAGGCCCATTTGCCTTTGGCTCTGAAGGGTTTGGCCAAGATCCTGACAGTGGTGGCCACACATTTCAGCCATCAGCAGCTGAAAGAGCAGCTCCCCAGAGCAGCATGTGGTGGTCTGCAGGTCGCTCAGTGACCTTCTGGCTTGTGAGAGCTCATGTGAGAGATGCAAAACTCTGCCCTGACTCCAGTTCAGGTCTTGGGGTTCATAGAGGCTGCTCTGGACTCTATAGGGATCAGTTGCCTTGCATTTAATATCAGATGTTCATTATGGTCTGTATAGGGTGTCTAATAGACATCTGACCTTGGGATTCTTTGGAGAGGTCTGGGGATGTTGGTCTGAGCAGGAACAGCCACTGCTCTGGTTTTATATTGCAAAGTGCTCTAAGGGAAATTACTCTTGGCTCAACCAGGGCTAAGTAAGGTTCAAATTAAGTATTTGCTTGCCACATATCAAAATTAGAATGGTAAACAACAGAATATAATAAAATAGGGTTGAAAATAAAGTATTTCAAGTTGGAAGGGCCTTCAATGATCATTTAGTCCAACTGCAAATAATAATGATTCACAAACCTTTACAAAAAGGCAGTTGTGCAGGAATGAGAATAAGCAAGTATATGCTTATTTAGAGCTTAAATCAGTCATAAACCCCTCTTCTGGTATGTAGGAATCAGCTAATAAGATGGCAGATGCCTCTCAACAGCCGTGGCTGACAGAGCAGCAGCGAGAGTGACATTGATGTGTTCTCCTGTTGCTGATTCTGGGTCGAACTAGACACGGTGCTAAGACAGAGAGTAACTGGTTTGTGGTGGCTGTGTAAAGTGGAAATCTCCTGGTTCCTGTTACCTTTCCATGGATGGCATTTTAAACAAAGGGAAAAACCAGCAGCAGCAGCTCTAGGTGTGTTATCTCCTGCAGAACCAGGGCCAGAGGAGGAAGCTGGCAGGCACACCGTGCATGCAGCACTGCTCCCCCCATGACAGTACCACCCCTGGGCAAGGCTGTGTGTGTTGGGTGCCAGTGGCTTGTGCCACCACCTGCCTGGCAGCCCCTCCTTGAAGCCCAGCCCAGCAGGGTGTAACAGCGAGGCGGAGGACTCGAGACTATCACATTTCTGTTTCTGTGAGGACAGGTATGAGGGTCGAGGTTAAGGACCCGAATGATTACCACATTGGGTGGAAGCAGGAGCTCAAGTATACTGTCAGCATCAGGAGATGTGCTTTAGGGATGCCTCAGTCACTGGGAAAATGCCTGACAGAAGCTGCATCTTATTTGACAGGGATAAGGCAGCCCTGGAGCACAAAGCTGCAGGAGAACAGGGTTTTTCCACTGCTCACAAGAGCAACTCATTAAACACTGTGGCCTTTCACAAGAGTGCTTGTGTTGCCATCTAATAAAATACTCCCTGGCAGTTTCTAGTCACCATTTCATATTTTCTATTTTGATTTCAGCTGTGTGGCATTCGCTGTTTTTAAACCATCCATTTCCAGAGTGATCCTCTTCCTGCATGGACATCAATGTAATTAATTTAGGGGCACTTGGATTTAAGCAGGTGCTTAATTCTGTAACTGCTGGGGGCTTTTTTTTGTCAAAGCAGAGCCTGATACAGGATTCCCGTGTCGGATGTAGGACTTTTTAGAGCTACAAGCTGCCTCCAATAGAGCACCCAAGCTTGGGGTATATCTGAGCATCGCTAGTGTGAGATTTTCAGTGCACAGAGCTGAAACCAAAGGCCCTCCACATCAGACACTTCTTTTTCTGTTTATTTATTAAAAGGGTTGTCCTATTTTCTAGTCAGACTTGCTGACAGGCAGTGTATAGCAGCTAACATTTGCTACTATCCCATGCTGTTCCTTTGCCGACCCATAACCATTCAGAATTATGTCTTTCCAAGTCAAACCCCGTGCCATTTTGACCTAGAGTACAACTGCTGCTTGTTTAGCTACCTTTTTTTTTTTTTTTTTTTTTCTTTCTAAATAGGTTATACTCAGTGATTCTTAAAATCAGTCATGTGGATGTTCACATCAGGTTTCAGTCGAACCAACTAGGTCAAATCTCTGCTCGTAGCTGAGCAGCTCTAATTCTTGTTGGTCAGCACAGCCTCCCTCTTTTGGGTGTGAGCCTCTTCACATGTCTCTCTTCATATTTTATCTTGAGTTGTTTGCTGCTCATCCCCTTGGTTTTACTGCAGATAAAAAATCAATTCCCCTCTTTTTCTACCCAGTTTTCCCTCTTTTTTTTTTTTTTTTCTACTAACAGAAAAGACTTTCTTGTCCTCATTTTGCTGATTTTTGATCTGGTTTTGAAGCTGGGAGCTCCCTTCCATGGACAAACTCAGCTCCTCTTTGAAAAGCCTGTGCAGGGCATGCAGTTTGTAAAATCATGGTGACACTGCCACTTATTTTCATGGTTTTAATCTACTACAATGCAGTCAGTAGCTCAGTTGCCCAGCAAGCAAGGACCCATTTCCCTTAGCACCAGGCAGAGGAAGGGATGCAATCCGTGTTTCTCAGTTGCACAGAAGGGCTGCAGCTCCTGAAGGATTTAGTCAAACCACAAATGCCTGTGGATGCAACCACTGCCAGAGTTTTGTGGCAGCTGAGCAGGTGGATGTGGCCAGTGTGCTCAAGGCAGGGATGTGAAATTAGACAAAAACCAATAAATCAGTAGAAAACCAATGCTGTCACTTAAACTTTCCCACACAAGTCAACAAGACTTGATTTACCAGCTGTGCATGTAGATTTTGTGTAATATTGTTATTGCTTGATTTTATAGCAGAGACATTAACAGTGTTGGCATTTACCTTGTGATGGTTATTGCTCCCAGGTTAACACCTCTGGTGAAAAAGGGCCCGCTGACATCTCTTGGGATGCTGGCTCCAAGCCTGGGTCTTGCCTGTAAAATTTAGTGGCACTGATGAACCTACTCGAGTTAAATTAGAGCAATTCCCTCCTAGAGACCCTGACTTTACCTGGGAATTCCCAAACAAGAAAGCTGTACCAGTTTGCTGGCAGAGAATTGTAAACCAGTGCTATGTCATTGCATTGCTTTTATCTTCACTGATGATTCTGACATCTTTTCCCTGGTGCTGCTGTGGCATCAAAAGCCTGGTTTAGGACAAATTATGTTTTTCTGAAATTAAATATTAACCAGCAAGCAGTCTAACATTTGTTTTGGCTGTAAGTAGGACTTTGTTTTTAAAGCTTTCCCAATTTTTGTAATTTTAATGAAAAAACATTATTTTTACAGTAGGGAAAAAATCAGGCATAAAAAATCTGAGGTGCTTGTGATATCTTACACTGCTGAGCTTGGTTTTGTGGTGAATGGCTTTGACCCTTGGTTTTCCTTGTGCTGTTCATGCTTCTGATCATCTTGGGCAGCTCTTCCCTCTCAATACTTATCCATCTCCTCCCAGGGTGTTGTGTCAGCCCTAAATAGAAAGGCTGGTTCCATATCCATATCTGTTCCCGAGTGGAACTAAGGAATTTCTGGGCCTTTTAATCAGAAGTGTCTGATGGAGAGGCAGAGCTGGATATGGATTAATGTCTCAGTGTGATTTTTAGCTCTGGGCTGTGTGGCAGCAACCTTGCAGCTTTACCTCCTCTATTTCGTGGAGCTGTGAGTTAATTTTTGTGGGTGCTTACTTAGGTTTGTGCTGGAAAATGGAGCGAGTTTTAGAAAGAAAGAAGAAAGACACAATTTTCCAATTTAAAAACAATGAAAAAAGGAAGGAAACAATATCTTCCCAGCTGCCCACCCTCCTAGTGACTGTGGCAGCTGAGTAGAGCTGCCTGCCTGCCCTTCTTGTGATAAAAAGCATTCATAGGATATCATAAATGAAAACTTTAACAGTATAATTGTTAATACAGTTAGTCAAACACTTGATATTCTTCAGTTATACAAAATTATTACTCCGTTGGTAACAGAGAGTGCAGCTGAGTTTGGACCCTGCAGAGGTCTTTGACTCCGTATTACCCAATATTTCTAATTCAGCAATTAGGGCAGTGTAAAATCAATACATCCCCCATCAAATGGGAAATCCTGTCTTAATAAGGCATTCCAATTTAATTGTTAATAGACACTCCAGTGGAATTGGAAGGAATTATTTGGAACCGGTTAGCAGCCCAGTGCTGGTCAACTATCAGTGATAAAGCCTGGAAAAAACCAAAATAGGGCTAAGCTGCAGTTTGGGCTTTTGTAACAGGAAAAAAAAAAAGGATTCATAGATGGGTACAAATCATACAAATGTTGGATCATCCTTGCAGAAGATGCAGTGAGCGTGGGCCTGTGTTTGATTCCATATGACTATTCTCATGTTCTTTCCTGAGGCATCTCTCCTGGATTCAGTTACTGTATTTGACAGACCAGATGATTTCTTCTGGTCTTAAAATTTCACGGGTATGTTCAACTGGTGCAAGTGAGAGACAGCACAGCCTGTGTCACAGGGGGGTTGAGGCATCCTGGATAATTATAAAATAAATAAATGCAGTGTTGGTAGAAGTGCATGGAGTGAAACTGCTGCTGGGAATGGGACGGAGGTGGTGCCCGGCATTACTTAGCACTTGAAAAAGTGCAGGGAGCTGGGAGGCAGCTCGAGCCCAGTCTGGGAAAGCATCTCTGGAGCAGCACTGGCCTGCCAGACAGTGGGCATCCAACCACCCTCCTCTGTCTTGTGTGCCACCAATGAGGCTCAGCGCAAAATAACAGCACCTGGTGTATTGTTCCTCGTGGGCTTTTGCATTTCCAAGAGAGGCACACTGTTTTGGGTAGGAAATGTGAACTTGTCTGTATGTTATCTGACAGCTCCTTGATGGAGTCCGAATTCTTACTGGGTGGCAAGTATTTTTCATATCAAATGGGGAAAAAACCTTGAATTTTGAAATTTGCAGTGGAATAGAATCACAGAATGGTTTGGGATGTGAGGGAGCTTACAGACCACCTCATTCCACCCCCTGCCATGGGCAGGGACACCCTCCACTAGACCAGGTTGCTCCAAGCCTCAACCTGGCCTTGAACACTTTGAGGGATGGGGTAGCCACAGCTTCTCTGGGCAGAATAACCATTCTGCTGTTCCAAACAACAATTATTTGTTTGACCATATAATGCTATTTCAGAGTTGTTTAATACACCGTTAGGATAGGGTGTGTCTAATACATAAATGCTGAGGGTTTTATAGAAATACTAAATTTAAGGTGAGAAGGTACATCTGCTTTCTGACAGTACTTCTTCTGGTGTCTGGGGCTGAGCTCTGCAATCTCCACCAGCTACAGATGGTTTTATGTGTTTTATGAGGCAGTAGCTCTGCATCCCTCGACATCAGGAGTCAAACCCCAAATCTGAACTGAAGGGTGTCAGAACTAACAATGGAGGAGCAGCACATGCCAACAACATTCTTGGCAGGTGCTACTGTAGGGCCAGGAGCAATTTTCTCTTCAGTCTAGAACAGATCACTCCCTCCCTTAGTGCTTTGCTTTATTATTGTTGTGATTCTTTCTTCAGAAAAGTGGGTTTCAACCTGCAGCTGGAAAGTATTCCCAAAGTGCTATTTTACTATTTATTTTCATCCAACTTCCTATTACTGTGGCAACATGCACTTTGAATTTCATTAGTTTTATGCATTTAAGTTCCCTTTTTAAACCTTTATAAGGTCAGGTCCTGCTTGGGTAAATCAACAATGTATTAAATTTGAGGTTCTGAGTAATACTTTTCCTTAAACAGCTGTAGATCACAGGTAGTGAGGGCATTAGGGCTTCTGCTTTTTTGAGAAATATTTGTGGGCATTACTGATAAGCACATGGACCAAATTACTTGGTAATTAGATAAGTATCTTCCATCACAGATTCATTCTCGTGTGCTTGTGGTCCATCAGCAGCACATTACAGGGTGCCTGCCCTGAAACCGTATGGGAGGAGGGTGTGCAGGCTGTCATGCTGTGCACTGCAGCATGTGCAAAGCTCTTGCAGCTGGAGCTGCTCCAGAGCTCCTTGGGATGGCCAGGAGCATCCCTCAGCATTGTGGGGTGCTGAGCATCCCACACAGGCTATGGGACTGTGGGACTGCTGCTGAACCAGCAGTGGGTGCAATGCCAACCTCAGTGTTGCTCCTTGTAGGTAGCTCTGGTTTCACAGGGAGGTTTCACCACCCTGTCCTGGTGACCAGCTGGCTTTTTTTGCCCAGCCAAGACTCACATCACCCAGAAGAGGGTTACCTGGGGGCAGCCAGCCCACAAAATCCCTGTTGTCTGTGTTTGCCACTTCAGTGCTCATGACTAAAGGGGGGCCAGTGTGCTCTCTCTTGATTTCCCATTGCTGTGGCCCCTGGGAAACAAGCCCTTAGCTGCTTTCACCTGTGATTTGCATAGTTTTGCCTGACAGGTGAGGAAGTACAAGAAGTTCTCCTGCCTCCATTAGGCTTCTGGTTAAAGGCTTCCCCATTAGTCTTTAATAAACAGGCTCTTTGTAGGCTTCTGGTTTCACAGCCACTCATGAAGGTAGGCTGTGAGGAGCTGGTTTAGCGCGTGTTGGCCGCATCCCTGCAGAACGGGCCCTGCAGGCTGCAAAGCAGAGTCACAGCTGCCTCTCCCAGTGAGTTTGTGCTGAGAAGTGCTGGGAGCCCTGGCTGGCAGGAAGTTGAGCTTCTCAAACTTCTCACGCACGTTTTTATGTGCAACTTTCTGACTAAAGTTCAACTCAGAATACAGCGAATAATTCAATTGCATCTCTGCCGCTGGGTTATGTAAGAGAAAGCTGAAATCGCGCCTTGTTTCGTAAGGTAACGTATCCTTCTGCTGATCTGAGCAATTTCCCTGGTGTGCAGTGGGGTTTTGCTACGCCTTCTTGGCTGAGATGGGATTTTGAGGGGGAGAGGGTGCTGTTGCAATTTTCTACATTGACTGGCATACAAATGTTTGAAACCTGGGCTTATTATGTGTGTTTTGATGGTGTTTCAGCACGCTGAGGAGACCGGAGCAGCTGGACCAGGCCGCGGGCCAGCGGTCAGCATCACCCTCCCTGGCACAGACCGCAGCCAGCTCCCAGAGCCCCCGGGAGATGAGGGGCCGGGGCCAGCCGGGACCGGCGGCAGAGGGGCCGCGGAGGACGCTGCAGGTGGACGCCAGGAGCCAGGGCTCGGGGAGATCTCCCTCGGTGTCACCGGACCGGGGCAGCACCCCTACCTCTCCCTACTCCGTCCCGCAGATCGCCCCCCTCCCCAGCAGCACCCTCTGCCCCATCTGCAAGACGACAGAGCTCACCTCCTCCCCTGGCCAGCCTAACTTCAATGCCTGCACTCAGTGTCACAGCAAGGTCTGCAACCAGTGTGGCTTCAACCCCAACCCGCACCTCACCCAGGTAATGCCTCCTCTTCCTCATGCAGCCCTCCTGGCTGCTTTGGCTGGGTTCTTGCTTTCTCCAAGCACAGAAGTTGCACCTTTGCTTTTGACAGCTGCAAAGCATTGACCAGGAGCAAGGGTTCTGCTGGTAATAAAGGAATAATTGTGATAATATGAGCTTTGATGAGACGGGGGAGATAAATTACTTGAAGGGGATTGGTAGATGACCAGGGCTCAGCTCTGTTGAGACACCAGAACATTTAGCTGAATTCTCCATTCTCAGAACTGTCCCGGAGTCACAGGGCTCCGGGAGGGGAGCAGGGGGGCTGCACTCCACGCTGAGGTGTGGAGTGTCTCAGCCCTGACTCACAGCAGGTCCTGGTGGGCTCCCGGCAGCTCTCGCTGGGCGCAGGGAGGGAGGCGCCGGGAGTCGTGCACAACACGCGGCAGTGCTGGGGAGGAGCGCTCCGTGGGATGTGCGAAATGGATGCTCCGGGCTCTGCGGGCGGATCCGGCAGCGGTGCCGGAGGTGGGTGCTGGGGCTGGCTGAGGTGAGGGGCTCCCCGTGCCAATCTCTCAGGTCACAGATCTCCACACAGGGTGGGAAGTGATTGGATGGTTTTTTCAGCTCTTAAGAGCCAAACCACATAGGTTTCTGATCCTAAAACAGAAACTTAAAGCTGCACTTTGGAAAGCAACTGTGCCACTCCAGTGCTTGATAAGACAGGATTTAGGCACTGAAGCCCCTTGGATACTCAGGATTTACTGCCAGTAGCCATTTTGTGGTAAGCATGCAATGCTTGCTCCTGATGCTAGACACAGCAGTGTCTAAACATCATTGTTTGAGGAACTCCTGCCTTCCAGTCCTTTATCCTGATGGAAGAAATCATAGAGTTACGGAACGGTTTGGGTTGGAAAGGACCTTGAAGATCACCTAGTTCCAGCCTCCTCCCGTGAGCAGGGATACCTTCCACTAGACCAGGTTGCTCCAAGCTCCATCCAGCCTGGCATTGAACACTTCCAGGGATGTGGTATTCACAGCTTCCCTGGGCAACCTTTTCCAGTGCCTCACTACACTGATAGTAAAGAATTTTTTCCTTTTATCTAGTCTAAACATACTCTCTTTGAATTTGAACCCATACCCCCCCGTCCTGTCACTACACGCCCTTGTAAATAGTCTTGCCCCATGAACGAGATATCCCTGCTATAGTGATGAATCAGCTGGTTCCTGATACTACTTCACAGGTATTTAGCCCTGCAGAGGTCCAAATAAGGTCTCAGATCTAAAGAGCCCTGAGGTCGAAATTCAGGGTCCTGTAAAGAAGTGCCATGGCCCACTTTTCTGTTTCGTTTATAAGTTTCATTTTTAATTAGATTTGCCAAACATTAATTTGGTGTCCAAGCATTGCCTTGAAAGTTGTCCAGTTACTCTGAACAGTATCAGTTAACAAGGAAATAACAAAATAAAAATGCAACAGTTTCTCCGTTTCTAGTCTTGTCTCTTCTGCTTTGCCCCAAGAGCTTATCCACAGTGGGCTCTGCCCCGAGTCTCTCTTGCAGATACCAATGTTAAAATACGTCTGAGCACAGAGACTTTGCTTAGCAGCTCTAGGCCATTTTGCTCTTGGCATCTCTAGGTCTCTGTGCCCTCAGAAATGTGTTTGACTGCAGAGCATTTTTAAACATCAAATCAAAAAAAATGGACCTGAAATGGAAAAAGATGTTTTTTTTTTGTCTGTCCTGAGTTTAATATGCATTTCAGCAGCAAGCAACCTTATGACTTGTAAGTAGGTCGTTGTGGGAGCTGGGGGATGAAAACAGTTGTCCAAGAGAAGTGTTTGCAGCTCGTGTTGGCAGCCCGTGTGATGGGCTGGCTGGGGGAGCAGCAGTGGTTGCTGCCTTCTTGGAAGTGTGACTCATTTTCCTCAACATCATTCCTTGTGCTGCTATTCCAGAGTCACACAGAGAGATGCCTGAAGCATCCTGGTGCTGTTACTGGGGGTAGTGGAGGCAGCTGGAAGGGTACTCTCCACCTTGATGGCGGGAGCTGGGCTGGGAAGGATCTCTGGAGGTTACCTGTTCCAACCTCTGCTCAAAGCAGCAAGCAGGGAAGGGATCTCCAGGCTGTACCCCACCGGCTCCTGGAACCTTCCAAGGGGGGACATGCTGGGCCCAGCTGCTCCAATGCCTCCCTTCACAGAGAAAACATCCACACAGTCTGGTCCCTCCAACCCAGCAGGTGCTGCAGGGTGGCTGCACAGCACTGCTCACCAGGTGTTGTATTCTCTATTTGCATTTCCTTATGAATATACTTTCATGTGTACAGTCGATATTGCCACTTTGTGCTGCAGTAGATAGGAATTTGTGACTTCTTTCTGCTTTCAAGGCTCTGTAGCAGGGTTAAATAATCAAAAATACCACATTATCTAAGAAAATCAAACCAAAGAAAACCAAAATTGTGTTTTGCTTGGTACATCCTCTGCTGTGCAATGTGTGGAATTGCCAGAAACCACTGGCATGGTGAGGTGGGAGCCACAGGGCTGGTTTGGCATAATGATCTCTCAAACTGTTTTGAGAGCTGGGGTATAAATCTTGTATAAACACTTTGTTTTCATTAGTCTTTTACTTGTATATTTATCCATAGCATAAAATAGCTTTTTGTAATATATATTTAAAGAAAATAATAGACTTAGTGTGTGAGCTGCAGTCCATCAAGGCCTATCTTGCCACTTTCAACTCCAAGAACAGATTTTTCAGAGGAGGGTTGACTGCACCGCCTTCACTTTGTACTTTGGTAATACCTTCTCCTCAGAAGCACATAATTCCCTTTGAAATACTATTTTCTTTGGCTGTTATTTTATTCCTTTTTGTTTGGCTTGATGGTCATTTTATCTTAAAAGCAAGTCATGAATTTCTGTGCTGACGAAGCAATCAGCTTCTGTGGCATCTTGAGTTGATGGCTTGCTGAGAAAAACAAAATCTCTTTTTGGGTTTTTATTTCACTGTCTGTTTATTCCTTTGAGCATCAGTTCATTCTTGTTTCACAAGACTGGGCAAAGAGAAGTTCCTCTCTGCTGCTGGTGTCACTCATATTTTACATGTAGGTAATTATATTGTTCCCTCTGTTCATCCCATGCCCTGAAATAGCTGCTGTCATGGTTTTCAGTTTGGTCGTGTGCTGGCAGGCTGCTTTCCTTGTTCATTCACATATTCCTGAAGGTCAGTGCTCTTGCCATAGACAGTTATTTTAAGCAAGGAAAGGGAATTATCAAGCAGGGAGCAATGGTGGCACCGTTAAAGACAACAAGTTTTGAAATAACGTGCTAAAATCTAGAAGTTTATTTACAGTCCTGTGCAGGAAATAGGTTTTTGAATGGGGATGTGTTATTTTAAGTGCAACATTGCAGCTTTCACATTCTAGTATGATTTTTAATTTCTCATTAAAACTTTTTTTCTACTTTTCCTCTGTGTTGTCTCTGAGGGTGTTTTTGGACAGCTTGTTCTGCAGGACCACACCAGTGATGCTGTCATCTCCTCCAGGGGGAATAGCTCAGTTTCAAACCAGTACAATAGGTTTAGAAAATCCTCTTTTTATACATCTTTCACTTTGTTCTGCTGCTCCTGTGGCTTTCGCCTGACTGATCCAGCAGCATGTTCATCTGATTGGATTTGCTCTGTTTGGTATCATAAGGAGTAACCTGCAGGCATCCTTTCTGCTTCTCTGGGGTTTTGAAGTGCTGCTGCACATTGCTAATTTGATAAATTAATTTCTTCTTCAGTCTTCTCTTAAAATTTGTTGGGTTTCTTTTAATTTGTTTTCTCACGATCCTAAGCGCTAAACCAGAAACATGAGGAACTTGAGTTTGATTTTAATCAAGAGCAGCAGCACAGCATTAAAATGTGTACTTTAGTTAGAGCTGAAATGAAACTCAAAATGCCTGGCTGCCTGATAGGTCTGCTTGGAACCACTTGGGATTATAGGAAACCTTTCCTGTCTGCCTTACATTTCTATTGTGCCTTTTTCAATTTGAAGTAGTGTGTATTAGAGGCAGTTTCATAAATTTTCAGATGCACATCTCTGAGTAAAAGGAACATGTTTATACATGTGTGTTCTTTACAAAATTGCTTTATTTTTGAAAGCCTTGCTTTTGTCCCCGAGCTGTTTTTATTTTATTTGCTGTATTTGTGGCCTTATTTATGACTTATAATTGTTAAACTTCAGTTCTGCCCCATGTTTTTAGCTTCACTTAGGGAGATTGAAGAGGTTCTTTGTACTTTTTATGCTATGAATATAATGAATTATAAAATATTTAAAATATTTGAGAGCAAATCTGTTCCCTGCATGCTCTGTGCCATGTAAGCTCATCACAAATCTTTGATCATGGACCTTCAGCAAGCAAAACGTAAAAAGTCTCAAGGAGAATTAAAAACTTGCTGGTTGGTTTCCCAACAGTGGTCAGGGTTGTTTGACAGGAGAAGAAAATTCTCAGCACATCTTGAGTTGTGTGTAGCAAGAGGAGGTAGCCACAAAAATCATTTAAAGTTTTTAAGTAAATGTTTAAATTGTATTAGTGGAAAATAGACCATCAGTTGAGGAGATGAGACTGAAACAATGTGAGCATTGTGTATCCTGTCATAACCTCACAGCTGGTCGTTTTCTGCTCAGTAGTATAAGAAAATTTGAGTAAAGTGGAAAAAAGAAGTGGGGGGAAGCTGAGGGGTGACACCATGCAGAGCATCTCTGGTGGGAGGAATGGGGCTTGTTGGCACTGGAGGAATGTCTCTAGTCCAAAGCCTTTTCCAATCTGGCTGTACTGTCAAGAGTGGTGCCTGCCCACAGCATTGCCTCAGTCATTTAGCAAATGACTGAAGAAAACTCAAATACTGAAATTGTGAAGCTCTTCTTACACTGCTTTCAAAGGACCCCATTTCTCATTTGGTTCATTGTCCCAGTTTTACACATTGCACCATGTTGGTGTCCAATTTTCAGTAAAACCCAGCATATTTTTGAGTTAGGGG